TGCAAAGCGTCTCGACCGCGTGAATGAAAATAAGCCGCGCCACAACGTTCAACGTAGCCAGAATGAAAATGAAAACGTTGGAAAAGTAAATGTACGGAATCGAAGTTCCCTTCGTTTTTCACTCGCGTTAATGAGAATTTTCGCGAGGCGAGTGTGTCACTTCTAATTCTATCTCTCTTGAACGTTAATCGTGCATACGTACGATGCATACTTTTCGATTCTTGCGTTTGGAAGAACGGTTTTTTAACATCCGGTACAACCGTGTTTCATTATCGCGAAACTCAATTCGAACGCCGTCTCCCACCATTATAATATCACGTTTAATTCGTTTTTGAATTTCAATTTCCCTCGCGTTTCCACATTTCCCGTTCCGTGCGCATTACAAACAATGCTTTCGAATTTTCTATAGGTCGCAGAGCTTCTGTTGTTTGGATAAAATTTTAAAGAAACATTGCGCAAAGATGACAATATAGTAGCGATCGTATAGAATCAACATATTTTGTTAAAATAATTTTCATTCGCAAGTTCGTCGATTCATTATTACCGAGCAGAGTTGGAAAAAATGTTACTTTACTCGTCAAAGAAAGTCATACTGAGGTGATTTCACGGAGTGGATAAGTATCAGGGAAAGCTTTTAATATTTTAATGCGTTGTGCTCTTGTTCCTGTTTGTTCTAGACGAAAATAATATATATGTGTATCTTGCAACAATTTGAATTTATTTGAAAGATAGCCGGATTAATTCGTTTTATCTTTTTATCCGCGTGTAAACGCTTTCACGTTTGAAAATCTCGCAAGAAACCATTATCCCATCGTTTTTCGAGCAATTTACGTCAGAAGGTTTTACTTAGCTTTTATTAATCGCAATTTATTCCGCTCGGAAATGTTTTATGTAATTTCTCACGTAATTTTATATCCGCTTGGGAAATTTTTTTCATCGATTTTTGTTTTTCTTTTTTTTTTAAACCATTACAGGGTAAATTACGTATTGCTCGTGGAACGAATTACATGAATAATGGAGTTTCGAAAATTTCAATTATTAACAAAGTTTAAAAAAGAAATTAACATGCTGAAAGCGTTTTTTAAATCAGATTACCGACGCACGCGCGAAATGAACTCGTCGAATAACTAACTTATTATCTCTTCCTTCTTGTAAAAATAATAATTTGAATTTGTTTCGACGTTTCATTTGTGCCGGATAGTTAAATTCTCGCGGGAGGGACATGTTCCGATTGAAAAGCAATGATTTAAAGTTTTGATTAATTTGATTATGAATTACATCGCAATTAAACGCGGTATTTAGCTCCTCGCTCGTAATTTATGTGAAATTGGAAAAAATTCCAACAACAATGGAAACAACACGTCACGAGTACATGCGAACGATATCAAATCTAATTAATTACCCTTCTCATTATCCGCTCTTTCGTTATATTCCACTCGTATCTCCATGGTCGCTCTTTTTTTTTTTTTGTTGTTGTTACTTCACTCCATTATACTCATTCATCATTTGGATACATAATTGACTCTTTCAGTCTTCATATATCACACACCTGTGCGATGCACGAGGTACAGTCAGATTTTGAATTTATCTGTTCTTTGGACAGATTTTTCTCGCGTTACTTCATGGCAAGTTATATAGTCTAATTTCTAACTTTCGTTTCCGTTCGAATTTCTTAATCACTGACTGCAATTCATGAAAGCTCACTCTCTCATGCTTTGGAAAATCATGAGATATTGTTTCTCTGTAGTCGAAAATTCCGCAGAATAAACTCTTCTTTGCGATAAAAGAAAGAAACAAAAAAAAAAAAAAGATTGTAAAAAAGATTAGACAAGTTACTACAATACTCCATGTACAGTTACAATAAGACATCGTGAAACGTAATTTCTTTGCAATTCCAAAGTCCATAATTTCGGCGATTCTTCTCCCTCTCGCGAGTCATAAAATCATAAAAGAGATCGTGCGTGAATCGCATCGGATCTCGAACGCTCGATTTATTCATACGTGTTTCCCTGAAATCCCTGAAATCCGTCGAACGATCCATATTTTCGTTCGAACCCCTAGCAACGAAACGTACGAAATAGTCGGAGACGAGAACGTTTTTAGCCGATTTAGTTCGATCGTTTGTCCGACGGGGAATCTCATTAACGAGAAGAGTGGGCGAGGAGAGGGGGGAGAGGAAGCACACTATAATTGCGTATGAGGATCGAACGACATTCGCGAATATTAGGGCTCTGTCGCCGGAAAATAGTCGGATTAGTCGGGGCAAGTAGAAATATAGCACGCGCGGGATTGCCGGGCCACGATTAAGGCCCGTGTACCGAGCGAAACAGGGGCAGGAGAAATCGTTTTAATTAACGAGCCGTTCAAGTGGCGATATTAGCAGTTACGCGTGAAAACAGTTGGCCGTTATTTTGGTTACGATAATGCGATCAAATCGCGAGGAAATCCTGTTTTATCGGGCGCTGTAAATTACTGTTTAACGACATTTAAGTTCGTTAATGATAATCGTCAAGTGAATATTTACGATCCTTCTTATTGTAAATTGCTGACAGAAATGTGTTAATTTGTTAATCGCGGCATTAGCATGAGTTCATTATGCATGATATTTATGCATGCATATTACACGAGCTGTATTTATAATTTTGCATTTTTAGTCACATTTCGTCAGGAATAGGAAACTCTCACAAAAAGTAATGAATTATTTTCACGCAGAAAGAAATCAGATGAAATAATTTCTTCGCAAATGTGTCTTATCCTTCGCCAATAAAATCACTCAAGAGTCAATTAGATATTATTTTTCATCCGTTTCACTTTCATTTGCATTCGAACAAAAATCGACTCTTCTTTGCCTGAAACAAGCCATCAAGAACTCGATGGACACTGAGCAGAAGAAAAAACAAAAAGAAGACATTCGTGCTTGTCGAGGCTCGATGTACCTACCGTCGTTTCCGTTTCTGGCACTTATTTTTAATACGCCCGACTGAATTGGCCGGGCTTAACGCGAGGCTCGAGCGACGAGCAAAATGTTAAGTCCCCTGTTTGCGCGATTGTCCTAACAATATTCGTGGCGCGGATGCGATACGGCCGGTATTATTTGCGGAGCACAATGGAGGCGTTGTGCGCGTAACGATATAAGCGTGAATTACGCCCGTCTGCCACGCTGCCACCGGCCGATACAGTGGCTTTTCGCGCTCTAACGAATTGCTTCTTTGACTTTATGCCGCTCGGATTAGTGGCCATTGCGTCGAGCTAACTGGCAAAGATCCTCGGACGCTGACGATTAAAAGGACCGTGTTACTTCAGGATTTTACGATGATATTATTCGTTACGCGGCGCATTCGCTTTCACTAGTTATGAATCCTCTCGCCGAGGTGTAAAGAACATCCTTTCCGAAGATCGGACTGTTTCGAAGTTTTTCGAGTATTTTTTTTTTTTTTTTTTTT